GGATAAAGTAACGAACGAAAAGAGAAATGTCAAGGAATAGGCGCTGCCAGTAGAAAACCTAAGCAACTTGCACACACACACACAAATATAACCTTATACGTTAAACTACGTGTTTGAGATTCTACTTAAATAGTCCTTGTATGGGAAGCACAATGACAGCCTTAGTTTAGCAATATTAGTTGTTAATTACAATCTATGACAGCGATTAACAAATTAGGCCTACGTTTCGTATTAACAATACAGTTTCAAACACCATATGGTTAAATAAGTCAGGATTTTATCCTGGTCATATTAAAAAGCAATTAAATAACATGGCTAAAGTAAGCTGTGCATTTTAACTATTGTTTTAGTAGAACTGAAAAATTTGTGAGGTTATGGACCTTGCTTTTTACCATTACTGACTGACTTACGGTTATGCATGAGGTCAGTTTATTTAATTTTATTGGAAATTATTAAAAATTTTGCTTATTTATGTCTTCTATTGCAAACTTTAGTTAACAATAATTTTATTTAACAAAATGAGTCATTGATGAGCTATTTGACACTGATTTCGCTTGGGTAATTTTTCAGTATCGGATTTTAATTTCTTTTGTTGCGATTCGCTTGTATCTCTCGAAATGTTCTTCAGAAAGTGGTTTCTTTGTTCTTGATTTAGCACTCGTTATTAAGCTGAACAGTTGCTCACAACATTCACAAAGCGTGCTTTCTGATATCATGATGATGATTTCTCATCATACAGAGTGACAGAGAATTACAAAAATAAAACTTTATCGTGCCGCACATAACATGTGAGTACCACAGGTTAATAGCCCACAATTTAAAATCAAATTAAACATGAATAACTTCCCTATTACTATAAAGGTTTAAATAGAGGGAACGGTCTGTTTTTGTTTTCTGTTTTCTTTTTTCGAAAGGAATATTTTATAGTAGCTATAATGTTCTTTGAAAATTCTACGGAAGGTATTACACAAGCTAGGCATAAGCCATATTATTACTATTCACGTTGTCCTTTTAGCACTTGTGCGCAGAATATGCGCCATTTATTGTATTACGCACGAAGCAATATAGCAAGGCTTCTGAATACATAATATTGTTACTGTCACGAGCCGCATTTATCTCTTAGATTATTTTATTTTTCCAGCACAAAGCAGGAAGTTATCTAACTTTCGAAATGACAAACATGCATGATGACAGGATCAGCATTGTTTAAAAATAAACAGGCTATGAAATTTTAGCGCCTATGCAGACAAACTTCCTCAGCAAATTTAGACCTATATAATTTGAATTTTAAGGAATTTTATTAGGTTTAAGATTAGTGACGACGTGTGATATTGCACTTATGTACCAACGTTTCGGAAAGACATACTGTCTCCATCTTCTGGGCTGAATACGGAGACTGCCTACTCCTGCTACATACAAGTCCACACAGCGTTAATACTCAGGAGACCAACATTCATACCTTCACCACCGTGAGAATCTCAGATAGCATATCACAAATCTCTTCCAACCTCATTCTTTCCGTTCTTATTAAATGCACAACCTATAATTATTTCTGAAATGGGCCCGCAATAATTTAGTTATCTAAGATTTTTTCTCAAAATTGGTTTGATAATATCGTAGAAATATGCCCGAAGTAAGTGTTTAGAGTCACATAAATCGTTAACAAACGCGTAACCCAGGATGCTGATATTGTTAATTTTAACAAATTATTCATAAAATTTTGGTAAGTAAATAAGAAGTACTTACAAAACAGCGACAGATGAATGAGTTGAACGACGAAGCCACCAGAATATCTACCACGTACAGGAAAAAATAAATCCACACGGAGAACACGAAAAGAGGTTACGTTTCTGAGCGGATGTTTTCAAAAATTATGTTGTCACTTTTGTGCGTTTTGAACGGATGCTTCACGTGTAACTTCCACATGAAATTCTCACGGTATGCGGAATCACTCTGCAAGCACTTATGACGTAAGATGACGTGGCGTCTCATCAGTGTGACCGCCAGTATCGTACTGAAACCCATCTGGAAGAAAGAGGGGGAAATTTGAAGTAAAAAATAAAAACATAGGGGAAGATCTAAAATACAATTCACAGCATGGCACGGGTTGCAGGACTGCAAAATAAAATGGGAATAGAAGCTCCCATTCTATGTGACGAAGGTG